AGTCATAATTATTCTTTTATAATGTTGACAGAACCCCCCCCCTCCTCCTTTTTTTATTGAAGTTTAACAGTTTATTGAAGTAATAAAAAATTATAACAAAGTCATAATTCTGAGTTTATTGTCATTTTAGACAAAATATTTTTAAAAGTTTGCCTACATGTTTTTTTTACTTTTGCGTCTCAAAGGGAAACTCCTACAAATGCATATTCAATAAGGTCAGGTGCAAAAATAACTGTGTCCTAAATCATAATTATGAATTAAAAGTCTAAATTATGAGATACTAAGTCATAATTATAAGATAAGTTAATTTATGACAAAAAGTTATAATTATGACAAACACAAAAATACTATATCTTATACTAATTGATAATAAAATAATAAAAAAATAAAAGTCACCAATTTGACACACTAAGTCATAATTATGAGATAAAAAGTCATAACTATATACTAAGTGATCATTTTGAGATAAATCGAAATTATGAGATAGAAAGTCAAAATAATAACAAAGTCATAATTATGAGATAAAAAGTCATAATTATGACACACTCGGTCAATTATGAGATAAAAAAGTACAAATTATGAGATAGAAAGTCAAAATTACGACATAAGTCATTATTATGAGATTAAAATGGCATAATTATGAGATAAAAAAGTCAGAGTTATGAGACGAGTCATAATTATGGTATACTAAGTCATAATTTTGACATAAAAAGTCATAATTATTACTTTATAATGTTGACAGAACCCCCCCCCCTCCTCCTTTTTTTATTGAAGTTTAACAGTTTATTGAAGTAATAAAAAATTATAACAAAGTCATAATTCTGAGTTTATTGTCATTTTAGACAAAATATTTTTAAAAGTTTGCCTACATGTTTTTTTTTTTGTTGAGTATCATATTTGATCTATCAGGGTTTTATGGCTCATATAGTCTGATATAGTGAGAATATGGAGGAAAAAACAGCTCAATTTTATTCAGAGATTCAAACTAAGCAAAAATATGAATTTGGTGCAGATGCTGATGCTTATATGGACAAAAAAATGATGATTGAGAGATACAAATAAACATTCCTCAAAAACCCAATGAACCAATTTGACACACTAAGTCATAATTATGAGATAAAAAGTCATAACTATATACTAAGTGATCATTTTGAGATAAGTCGAAATTATGAGATAGAAAGTCAAAATTATTACAAAGTCATAATTATGAGATAAAAAGTCATAATTATGACACACTTGGTCAATGATGAGATAAAAAGTACAAATTATGAGATAGAAAGTCAAAATTACGACAGAAGTCATTATTAAGAGATTAAAATGGCATAATTATGAGATAAAAAAGTCAGAGTTATGAGATGAGTCATAATTATGGCACACTAAGTCATAATTTTGACATAAAAAGTCATAATTATGACTTTATAAAGTAGTCACAACCCCAAGTTTAACAGTTTATTGAAATTTTAGACAAAGTATTTTTAAAATCTTTTAAAAAGTTTGCCTACATGTTTTTTTGTTATCATATTTGATTCATCAGGATTTTGAAGCTTGTGAAGATCATTCCTCCGCTGAGGAACAGTGAAAGTAAAGCTTCTGGAAACAAACGCTCCTCAAAAGATCCTGATGATCAGATTTGAGACTCTAAAACATGATTGATGGAGAATCAAGTAAAGCTGAGCTGCTTCAGTCCAGTAAGTGTTCATCTGGAGATATTACTGCAGTTATTATGAACTTTACTTGATAAAAATCAGTCAAGATTTGACAGCAGAAAGACACGAGAAGCTGGATAAAAATCAGACAACAGAAGACATGGAGGAGATCTAGTGTGAAACAGGTTTAACAGCAGAGTTTGATCATTTAGAGGTGTAGAAATTCATTAAATATAATTTATATGGTTCATATCGAGGTCTTTTTAGCTCTGCAGTTGTTTGTGATTCTTACAAAAGTACTGCAATGAACTAGGAATGCAAATACACGTCCAAATGTGATTTATATTGTGCAGGTCTGATGATGGACGTAACGCAGATGTTTTGAGTTCACTTACACTCACATGATATGATTTTTTAATAATTACTTCTATCTCAAACGTTTGGACGGCCAAAGAAAATACAGAAACAGTGTTTACCTCAGCGTTCGCCAAGCAGCAGAAGTGAGATTAATGGTTTACAGACTCTTATTTTAGAAAGCAAGAAACACTAGTTTTAAGTGTTTAAGTCTTTTCACACAGTGTTACTCAGCGAGATTTACTGATGAAACGCCACTCGTTCAGCGTTCGGCAAACATCATTCACGATCTGTTAGATAAAGAGATGAATGTTTTATGTGTGGGAGTTCTTCTTTAAAGCATATGGAAACAAAAAAAGGTGTTTATTTGCACTTGTTTTGCCAGCTGTTAATCACAAGCATCATGCTATATAAAGCTAAAGCACATTAAGTGCTAAATTCACTCGAGTGAGTTTGGGGCGGGGCTTTCTGTTCATCTGACCAATAGCAGATGAGGATGGAAATCTTTGGGAAACATGTTTGTAGGTGACACTTTAGTTGAGGCCTTTATATATAATTCATTATTAAATTATATTTTAAAATTTTATTTTTTAAATAAATAATAAATTACACAATATTTATTATTTATTTAAAAATTCTATGAATATTTTTTATAATGTATTTTACATCATAAATGTGTTTTGCCTTATAATGCATTGTATGACATTATAATACTTATTTATTCACCTTTAATGTAATGCATTAAAACACAGGACAAGCAACGAATGTCAGATGTAATATTCTGCAAATGTTATAATGCATTTGAACTTATTTGTGAAAATATACAATGCATTATAACGTACATTATGAATGCTAATTTTTGTGCAAGTGCTGCAGAAATAACACTTTACAAAACTTAATATACTTTATAAAAATGTATAATTTTATAAACAATTAAAATCAATTCTACTCTAGAAATATTACTTAATGTGTAATGCATTATATAATGCACTTGATATATAATGCATTATACATAATGTATTATAAAAGTATTTTATATTTTTACATTTTAAAATTTTCAATAAATCATTGTTAGAAATAACACTTTACAGAACACATACATATACCTTAATGGTATTAAAATTAAAAAGCTACTAGAAGATTACATGATATAATCCATTATACAAGTATTTTATATTTTAAAATTATAATATTGTATGTAGTTTTTTCATAATGTATTAAAAATTTAATATTTTTAAATAATTATATTAATATAAAATAATGTAATATTAATATAACAGAAGTATGCTACATTGCCACCAGGGTTTTTATTGTTAACTAATATATATATATATATATATAACTTAATTAAAAAAATTTACAATATAGATATGTTTTAAAGAACAGAGACTAATAAAAAATGCCAAAAACACACAGCATAATTACTAAAACCAACTAAAATTAAAATATTGTCAAACACAATTATAGTAAATTAATTATACTGAAATAACACAGATTGTCACATGACCTCATATTCACTGAGTTATCACGATAAATAAGTTATTATGCCTTCTTTATTTAATTTTGTACAATTGAGTACATTGCAATTTGTATATCAAATATAACTTTTCATTTATTGAAATGAATTAAGCTGAAATAAAACAAATATTAGATTAAAAGCTTCAGCTAACTTAAACAGCTAAAAGAAAAAAGTTGTTACATTACTAAAAGTACTAAAATGACTAAAACTGAAATTTAATGCTAAAAAAATGTAAATAGTAATAAAAATGAGGAATTAAAATTAAAACAGAAAATATAAAAATAAAGCTTATTTAAAACATTATAAGTAATACTAAAAACACTGCCTAAATGCAACTGCACATTTTTGCAAATTTAGTGTCAATCTGATATTCCATGCATACAGGAATATATATTTACTGTACTAGTAATATGCATGCAAGTAATAAATGATTTTTCAACGTTGTAAATAAAGATTATTGGAGTACATTTCACAAGAAAATATTATTTCAGTTTTTCTACATCAAAATTTCACATTTAATTGCTGTGAAAATTGTTTCTGTCATTTATTTTCTGCATGTGCCACTGTGACGTCTTTATCAACACACTTTCATTGCTTTTGTCTTTAAACAATCACAAATGCAAACAGAGCCGACTGCTTGACCTTTGACCCTCATGGCCAGAGGCTTGATCCTGTTCCATCTGCAGTGAATAACGAGCTGTCAATCAAGTGCAAGGCCACGCCCTCAGGCTTATCAGGATGAAATAAAGCCGCATTGACTGTAGGTCTGCAGTGAGACTCTCATGAACTCAAGTGTTTTAATAGATGCTGATCTGAAATTTACAGCATGTTTTGATAGAACATCAAGCACTTTTATATTGAAACATCTTTTAATGGGTTTTCATGGACACCATGAGGATGAGGTTGAGTTCTGAATAATTGCAAACCCAGAGTCTGTTATGACTGAATGTGCATGTGCTGCTGAATGCAGCTGTGGTCAGTGTGAATGTGAGGGTTGTGCGGCTGAACAATGAAGCAGCTCATCCAATCATGCGCAGCACAACGAGGGCTCTCCCAGCATGCCGAGCGGGTCGCCTGATGACTGGCGTCCAGCGCTGGACAATGAGGAACCGCATGCATTGAGTTTGGGACAAAAGCAGCCAGTACTGAAGGCTTGTGCAGTGAATGCGCTCTTGAGCCACACATATGCCAAGAGCGTCTCATGATGAGCTGTTTCACACACACACTCACACACACACATACACATGCACATACACATACACATACACATACTCACTCACTCACATACACACACTCACTCACTCACTCACTCACTCACACATCACACACACAAATCAGAGAGTGTGTGTGTGTGTGTGTGTGTGTGTGTGTGTGTGTGTGTGTGTGTGTGTGTGTGTGTGTATTCTCACTCAAACATATTGTTTTCGTGCTTGGAAGTACATAATACCGAACGTGGCACATCTAGTAATGTCTGAGTCGATCTGATGTGCTCTGATAATACACTTACAGCTCATTATAGCCTCGTGTTTCACAACATTATGAACTGCAGATGAAATGTTGTTAATGACAGCTTCTGCTCTACTGTATTCCTGAAGAGTCTGTTGATTTGATTTGGCACTGATTTGACAGTGGAGTTTATTTGATTTTGGTTGGTATCTAGTTGGAGACGGTTGAACAAATCTGCAAACATTAATACAGACCAGAACAAACCAGAGAGAGAATAAAGCCATACGCCAATAAGAGGATGTTTGTTCTAATAAAACTCACTGCAATGCATGTCGGTAATAATAATAATAATAATTGATTTATTGTTGTTGTTGTTATTGGAATAATAATAGTTTATTATTATTATTATTATTTACTATGCAATTATATTTATCAGTATTTATGTATACATTAATATTTGTTATATTTACATTACCAGTCAAAAGTTTGGAATAATTATGTTTTTAATGTTACTGAAAGAAGTCTCTTCTGCTCACCGAGGCTGCATGTATTTGTTTAAAAATACAGTAAAAACGATTTATTATTACGATTTAAAACATCTGTTTTCTATGTGAATCTCTGTTAAACTGTAATGTATTTCTGTGATGCGCAGCTGTATTTTCAGCATCATTACTCCAGTCTTCAGTGTCACATGATCTTCAGAAATCATTCTAATATGCTGATTTGCTGCTCAAGAAATATTTCTGATTATTATCAATGCTGAAAACAGTTGTGCTGCACAATATTTTTGTGGAAACAGTGATATATTTTATTTTTCAAGATTCAGAGATGAATAGAAAGTTCAAAAGAACAGCTTTTATTTGAAACAGAAATCGTCTGTAACATTATATTGTATGCATCCTTGATGAATAAAAGTATTTGTTTCATTCAAAAAGTGAAAACTTTTGAATGGTAGTGTATGATGATTTTTGGAGCTGATCTGCACCAAACTTTTCACCTGTTGTGTAATTTATTGATTCATATTTGCAAAAATGTTTGCATCAGAAGTGCTGTCTAGGTGGTCGGCGGCTCACTATGTTTTGGCACGGAGCCGCAGTATCACCGCTGAAAGATGTTGTGAACCCTGAGTGAAGCTCACAGCTGCTGTAATGATGACTTCCAGATGCACAGAGCTGTTGATGCTGAAAATACAGCTGCGCATCACAGAAATAAATTACAGTTTAACAGAGATTCACATAGAAAACAGCTGTTAGAAATTATAATAATATTTCACATTTTGAATCAAATAAATGGAGATTTCTCTTCAAAAACATTAGAAAATCTTAATAACCACAAACCTTTGAATGCAAATGTATTTATCTGTGTAACGCCAAGCCAGCAGAGGGAGCCCTCGCCCGAGTACTGACCGTGCTCCACTCCCTCTGTTTCCTCTACTTCCATTTCCTTTGACGAACGATCTGCCTGCTTCTCTGACTTTGACCCTCTGCCTGATTATCGACATCTGTTTAAAGCCTTGACCTTTAATAAACTTCCGCTCATGGATTCTAACCAAACTCCAGCATCTCTGTTACAATCTGCTAAATTATGCGACACATTTTGCATAATACACAAATTGTTTAGATTTTGTCATATGGGTCTCTGTTTTCTCATATGCAGAAAGTTTCCTGTACGAGGTAGGGTTAGGTTTAGGGTTGGTGTAGGGCAATAGCACATACAGTTTGTACAGTATAAAAACCATTACACCTATGGAGAGTCCCCACAATTCACAAAAGTAAGTGTGTGTGTGTGTGTGTGTGTGTGTGTGTGTGTGAGAGAGAGAGAGAGTCTCTATTAAAGTCGTATGTTGGGTGCAGGAGTTACGCTGGGATGCGGTCCAGCTGCTTCTTGGCATCATAGAATCACTGCATTTAATCAGAGAAATGACACCGAAAGTTAAAAACACTGGAAGAGCCAGAATGAACGACGGCTGGAAATCACATTTAAACTCCAGCTGAGCATCAGGTTGCAATTCAGCAGGTGCAGAGTGATTACTCTGACATAGAAAACATTAAATATAACAGAAGAACAGTGAAGGACTTTAATGGGAAGAGGACAACACAAAAACAATATGACCTTTCTCGTCTTCATGTGAGCCTAACGGAGCGTTTCAACCCAAACCTAACAATGGATCATCAGTCAAACACAGGCAGAAGACAGTTCACCCAAATTCACTGAAAATGTGCTCAGGCCATCAGAGATTAGGATGAGTTTGTGTCTTCATCAGATTTGGAGAAATGTAATATGTGGCTGGATTTTTTCTCTCCTGATTCAGACCAGAACACTTTTTCACTGGAGGAAGAGTTATTATGGATTATGGACTCAATTTTAGCGATGGATTTGTTTCTTTCAAACACTCTTTTGTCTTCTCCAGATGTTAACTGATGGACTGGAGTGCTGTGGATTACTTGTGGATTATTGTGATGTTTTTATCAGCTGTTTGGACTCTCATTCTGATGGCACCCATTCACTTGCAGTGAGACACTGATGCAATGCTACATTTCTCCAAATCTGATGAAGAAACAAACTCATCTACATCTCTGAGGATCTGAGTGTGAGCACATTTACAGCACAATCTTTATTTTGGGTGAACTCTTTCTTTAAGAGAGCTTTAGGTTTCAGCATGACTAATGGGTGGGTGATTGAACGTCTAATTCACACACGCATGTAAACACAAGCAGCGTTGGCCCGAGGGAGTTGAGTCTCACGCCAGCCGCTTCAGTGTGTGCTGCATGCAGCGGGAACGACGCCAGCGACCGCAAGAGCTTCTCTCCAGAGAGACAGAGAGAGAGAGAGAGAGACGGCTTTCAGCTGCAGGGGTTTGAGGGGGAGAGTGACGTTTGGACGGGGCCAAAAAATCAACAACTCCACAACAGACAGACAGACACTAAAACTGCTCCAACAGCCCCTGCCAGTCTAAATGAATTTTACACACATAAACACAAATGATACAGCTGACTGCATGAAATTATCTGCAGCTATTCATGTGCACCAGAGAGACAAAACCAGCCTTATTTGAGATATATATATATGTATATATATATATATTTATTTTTTTTTACTTTTCGAATACTTGATCATACTGACATTCACATTCAGAAACCGCATGAATGTCATTGAACAGAACAGTGTCTGCGACATCCAGTGTCTTTAAAAGTTAAAGAGATAACTGGTCTGACTCATTTCTCTGAACTCATTCATTCACATTATCATGCTGTAGTGTTTAATCTGCTGTGCTTCATTTACTCAGAAGCACATAACCTACATCGTCCTGCTGCACCGAGGTGTGCATGAAACTACCTTGTTGGAAAAGCAGTTTGGTTGCACAAGCCTGCTGCCTAAATGTCGTATTTTGAGTAGAAAATGCAACAAAACTAAACTGTCCATGATTCTGTAATCGACGCCCTCGACTCGTGAAGTCAGTGCTGGTCATTTCAACATCATGCTCTGCTTCTATCATTTACAACAAACTTTGTGTCTTGTGCTCATGATCTAAGATGCTTAAACTGCTGTCTAGATAGGTAGCTCAATGAGTTTTGGAACGCAAACTCACACACAAACCACAAGAGAATTATTTGCACTCTGCAGGGCAATATAAGCACGCACACACACACACACACACACACAGAGAGACTGTGGTCAGTGAATTAGCACGGCACCTGATAAAAGAGACTGAGACCCTGTGTGACATGAGAAAACACTGAGTCACCGCCGCCGTGTGTGTGTGTGTGTGTGTGTGTGTGTGTGGGAGTGTTTGAGAGAGAAAGGAGACTGTGGAGGAGGCAGTTATTTATATATTTAACCCTTAATGATGCTGGATGTCTCACACACTGTTCTGTTCGATGACGTTTAAAACCCTTGTACGCTCTAACCTTTTTTTATTTTTCTGAAATCGTTGTAATATATTTTTGTTCAATAATATTTTTTCTTTTTTCTTTTGTATTTTGAAAGAATTTTATGGTAATAATTAATATTTATGCAATAATAATTATAAATTTTTTCAATCAAAAAATGTTTTCTCAAATTTTGTAAAATAATTTTTCAATCAATGCAGTATCTCTGATTCAAATAGAGACTAGGCCTTTAAAATCCATTTTTTAAGGCAGATTAGCACCTCCTGGTGAGAGCAAAGAAAGAAAAACATGTAATTTCATGGTGTAAACACTAGATGCCTGTATAGAAATCTATAGAGAGGCTTTTGAATTCCCTAGTTGTTTTTATACATAATTGTTTACTTTTATTAGGTTGTGGATTTAAATGTATATTAAGGCATTCTCAAAGACTATGTTTTGTCAAGGTTTATATTTTTTTTGTTGTTTTAAATGTTGATTTGAAGTGTCAGTTTTTGCATACCTGAATACAGAAAGCATTTTGTTTTACAAAACATTAAAATTCTATGAAAATGTAACAAGAATAAACAGGAATGCTTTATCAGAGCTTAATCCTTCTAGGCCTGATCTGATTTTAACCTCTTATTTCAGTCTTCTGACTCATTTTGGCTATATGATTATAGCCATACCAATTCATTTGAGTGTGTATAATTGTGTGTGCGTGTGTGTGTGTGTGTGTGTGTGTGTGTGTGTGTGAGATATCATCTGTTCAGACAGTCTTTCTTAAT